TTTCTGCAGCTTACATTCTCAGGGCCTCCTCTGAGTAGTATGCTCTTACAATCATGCTTGAGATGTTGCTGGGAGGGCAAATCCTACTCCCCCTCCTCCCAATTAAAAAAGTACATTTCAAACTTCTGCAAGTTAATCATATTTGCCACACTGCCACCTCAGGGAGGGAGAATGTAAGGCTTGCACTGTACCAAATAGACTTTCATTTCATCAATTTCTTCTCCCCAATTTTGAGACATTTGGCCTCCAAAGTAATTCTTGGCTATGTTCCCTTTACATCAGTGGTTCTCAACCTGTGGGTTGCCACCCCTTTGGGGGTTGAGCAACCCTTTCAAAGGGGTCGCCTAAGACCATCGGAAAACACATATTTTCTATGGTCTTAGGAACCGAGCCATAATTTTATGGTTGGGGGTCACCACAACATGAGGAACTGTATTAAAGGGTCGCAGCATTAGGAAGGTTGAGAACCACTGCTTTACATGATAAAGGCATTTCAGTTCGTATTTCTGACTATGTAGGAACCACAACATGTAATTTTGTACTGCTGAAAAGTACGATTCCAAATCACCTTCTAGTGTACATCAGACGTTCGGAATCCTTCTGTGTGAATGGAATCTAAACATTCTGCAGGACAATAATCAATAAAAACAAGGGGAGGAAGAGGGGAGGGTATGTGAGTGAGTTTACTACAGGTCAGGCAGAGATGGTATTCAGCAGGTTCTGACCAGTTCTGGAGAACCAGTAGTAGAAATTTTGAGTAGTTTGGAGAACCGGCAAATACCACCTGTGACTGGAGATTTTGCAGTATCCTTCCCCTGCCACATCCACCAAGCCACGCCCACAGAACCAGTAGTAAAAAAAATTGAATCCCATCACTGAGCTCAGGCCATATTTTTCTTCTTTCTGTCATATATGTAATGATATGTGGGAATGACTTTGAGAGAAAGGATGAAGAGCCACAGAGTAGACAATGGTCAGATAAGAGGCAGCTGAGCTCACAGAAGGAATTTAGGCATGATAAACACCTCAGAAGGAACTAGTCTCTTTGGCTGTAAAGGCGAGGGGGAAGAGCTGTCCTTTCAGATGTGGACAATTCTGTTGGTGTAACCTTATTATAGAGGTAGTACTCCTTGGCATGCTTCTTGTCTGGATTACCTCACAAGGCTGACAATATTTGCAATCATATCCACTGGATATTAGGAGCAGAGTTACCCAGCTATCAGCACACACAAAAAAAACCTAGGTTCCAGGCCAATGAAAACCAGTACATTCTCCAAACTATCAACAACCAGGGACCCATGACTAGCTATGCCCAGGGTTCACACTTCATATCAAGACTTTCCCAGAATGACTTTCAGTATTAGCAGCTATGAAATATTGTATGTTAAGATTTCACATGCGCATTAATAGCAATCATTGACCAAGTCAACTACTCTTGGAATCATGATCAACTCAATATGTAGCTCTAACCACGGTATATAACCCATGCTTGGAATCATTAGGAAAACAGAACAAAAAAATAAAATTACCAAAGAAAAAAATAATGCTTTCATATAAATCTACAATGAAGCATAATTTGGGATATTCTGCACAGTTCTGACAATTATCTCTGTAAAATATTTAAAAAGTGAGGAAAATGCATAAAGAAGAGTTAGATGAAGTGATCCTGGAACGAAAGCAATTTCCTTATGAGGAAAGGCTACAAACACCTAGGAGTTGTTTTTTAAACAACTTATAGCAAGTAAAACAGGCAATGCTGTGCTTGCCATATCCAGTTTCCAGCCCTGGTTACTAAGCTGACCACATCAATTTCAATTTCAACACCATATTCTGTTTGAAGGGCTGATTGAAAGCAATCACTATCAGTAATCTTGAGCTAAAGTGAATCTGCGGTGTCTGATTCCCAGGTCCTAAATTCTATAACCCCAGGATATCCTAAATGGAGGTTTGTTCATTTGTACCTCATAACAATTTTATAAGATAGGTTAGGGTGAGAGAGACTAGCCTCTCTTGGATGTAAGTTTTGAATTTTTAAAATGTGTAATAAATTAGAAATTAGAAAGCAAGCACTTCTGCGCTCCTACAACCATTTTCAGAACTGAAAGAAGAGGGAAGTGTATGAGTTGAGGCTTGCCTATATTAATTAGCATAACGCAGTTTAATGGGGTTTATATTTCCCACTTCTATAGTACATTGAAAAACAATAATGTTGAAATTAATGAAACAGTACATCCCAATCTGACAATTTAGTGGAATAGGAATGAAATATTATACTCCCCAGTGTATCTGGGTACCTCTAGGAATTTATTAGGCCCACAATCAAATTATGATCTAGGTTCTTATTGAAGTCTGCTGTGAGCCACAAAACTTCATGTGCATAAGAGTTATGCCTAGGACTCCTTATGACAAAGGTTCAAGGTAGATACATCTTGTATGGCCTTTTGCCCTGGGGCCTGAGTTGAACACTAGAGTCCAAGAACACTTCAGAACCACCTTCAAATGTGGGTACCATATTTAATTTTCAAGTCATTAATATTTATTAATTTAATGTTTTCTGTGGTTTTTATTTGGTGGTAAGCAACCTAGAGTCACCACTGGGTGAGATGGGCGGCATATCAATTTAATTTTAAAAATGACTTAAATTGGCTAAGCAGCTGTAGCTCAAGGGCCAGTTCCATGTTTGGGCTGTTATATGATATTCCACAGCCAAGAACACAAACTGATGAATTACAAAAGAAGAATTCTCACTCAAGGCACAATGACCAGGCACAAATTATTCTGTCAGGCGCATTACACAAAGATCCAGCTCTCTGTAGAAAACTCTAATGCTAGGAAAGGTGAAGGAAAGAGGACAACCAGCAGCAAGGTGGAGAATCTCAGTTCCAGGGGTGATGAATGCATCATTGGAAGACCTAAAAGTCCAGGTTAGTGATAGATCATCCTGTACAAAAATCTATGTGGTTGTTAAGCATCAGTAAGAGCTTGATGGCACATCAATCAGTCAATGATATTTCAAAATTCTTCTCTATTACTGAAGATGTACACTAAAAACACAGGGCATTAGAGACAGTGCTGTCTGTCATCTGGTGCATATGTTGATTCAAGTGAATTGAATGGTGAACTGAAGCCATTTCAAGATCCATTACAGCAGGAAGTCTATGGAGATTCTCAGTCATTCAAGTCATGGTTGTCCCAAAGATGCTTTTTCAAAGGGCAACAGGACTTTCCTGATTTTCTTTTCAAGACATTTCGCTTATCATCCAAGAAGCGAAATGTCTTAAAAAGAAAAATAAGTCCAGCTGCCTCTTGAAAAAGTATCTTTGGGACATTTTAGCAGGAATACTCCAAAAGTTGTTCTGGAAGCACAAAGATGATGATCCCCCACTTAGAATAGGATAGGATAGGATAGGATAGGATAGGATAGGATAGGACAGGACAGGACAGGAATAGAATAGAATAGAATAGAATAGAATAGAATAGAATAGAATAGAATAGAATAGGAATAGGAATAGGAATAGGAATAGGAAAAGAATACTTTATTGGCAAATAAGGAATTTATCTTGGTGTAAATACTCTCAGTATATATAAAGAAAAGGTACATTCGTTAAGAATCAAGAATCATAACGTACAACACTTAATGATAGTCATAGGGTACAATCAACAATCAAATCATACTAGGAAACAGTCAATATGGATCATAAGGATACAAGCAACAAAGTCCTACTATCAGTGGGAGGGGATGGGTGATAAGGAGTGATGAGAAGATTAACAGTAATAGTAGTGTACACTTTGTAAATAGTTGGACAGTGTTGAGGGAATTGTTTGTTTAGCAGAGTGATGGCTTTCAGGGAAAAACTGTTCTTGTGTCTAGTTGTTCTGGTGTGCAGTGCTCTATAGCGTTGTTCTGAGGGAAGGAGTTGAAACAGTTTATGTCCAGGATATGAGGGGTCTGTAAATATTTTCACAGCCCTCTTTTTGACTCGTGCAGTATACAGGTCCTCAATTGAAGGGAAGTTGGTAGTTCTGCAGTCCTAATTATTCTCTGAAGTCTGTGTCTGTCCTGTTGGGTTGCAGAACCAAACCAGACAGTTATAGAGGTGCAGATTATAGACTCAATAATTCCTCTGTAGAACTGAATCAGCAGCTCCTTGGGCAGTTTGAGCTTTCTGAGTTGGCGCAGAAAGAACATTCTTTGTTGTGATTTTTTGATGATGTTTTTGATGTTAGGTGTTCATTTTAGGTCATATGATATAGTAGAACCTAGTAATTTGAAGGTCTCTACTGTTGATACTGTGTTGTCTAGTATTGTAAGAGGTGGTAGTATGGGAGGGTTTCTTCTAAAGTCCACCACCATTTCTACAGTTTTGAGTGTGTTCAGTTCCAGATTGTTCCGGTTACACCACGAGGCAAGTTGTATAACCTCCTGTCTATGCAGATTCATCGTTGTCTCGAATGAGACCAATCACTGTTATGTCATCAGCAAACTTCAGTATTTTAACAGATGGATCATTTGAGATGCAGTCATTGGTATATAGGGAGAAGTGAGATAGCACACAGCTTTGGGGGGGCCCTGTGCTGATTGTACAGGTATCAGATGTGATTCTGCCTAGCTTCGCCTGCTGCTTCCTGTCTGTTTGGAAGCTTATGATCCACTTACAAGTGTGTTCAGGTACCGCTAGTTGGTTTAATTTAATTAGAAGAGTGTCTGGAATGATGGTATTGAATGCTGAACTGAAGTCTACAAAGAGGACCCTTGCGTAGATATTTGGAGATTCAAGGTGTTGTAGGATGTAATGCAGAGCCATGTTAACAGCATCATCTGTCGATCTATTTGCTCGGTATGCAAACTGCATGGGATCTAACAGTGGATCCGTGATGGTTTTCAGGTGGGACAGAACAAGCCTTTCAAAGATTTGAAAGATAAAAGTTGTTTGTTTGGGAAACGACCAATCGCAGGCTTCCACCGTTGCTCCTCCCTAATTAAAGAGTTCACAGAATTATTAAGTCCTCAATGCAAACTTCTTCGGCTTTTTGCAGCCAGCAGAAGAAGAAGAAGAAAGCCCCTGCTAATGAGCCCGTCAACTGCAAAAACTTCACAACACGCCTTTCTCCTGCAGCAAATAACACGGACCGAAGAAAGAGCTGAGCGGAGGCAACCTGGATCGCCCGGAAGGCTGTCGCGGCAACATCAAGCAGCCTCAGCAGCACCGAAGGGGCCCGACCAATAGAGAGCGAGATCGGCCGCCCAGGGACTGTCCCGATTGGCGCAAAGGGCCGCCGCTCAAGCAAAGCTGAGTGCAGTTTGGAGTTGGGGACTTTAGCCGTCTCCCTCGGCGAAGGCGCGACGTGGCGGGTTAGTGAAATACAATGGGCGATGACGCAGGGCGTGGATGCTGAGGAGGGGGTGTTAGCCCGGTCGTTGTCTTGGCTCGTAGTGAACAAGGGCCGGGAAGGGGAAGCCCACCACATTCGGCTCGGCAACGGGTACTCCTTCGCCCAGCCCTTATAGCTCCATGGGGCTTTTGGGAGAAGCATTTGCTTTTCTTTAGGGATCCTTAGGTGGGGGGTGCGGGCTGTTGTCTGAATCGCTCCGCCCCCCTGTTCTCGGGGTCGGGTTGTTTTGAGGGAAAAACTATTAAGGAGCTTGCTTTTATGCAGGCAGCTGTTGAGATGTGAACTGGGTCTCCGCGATGCCACGTCTTTCTTTTCTTAGCAGGCAGCTTGCGAGTGTGTGATTTCTGTTTGGAGCGAGCAAATCTGGGCTGCAAAACTCCAAATGGCCTCTAGGGGGTAGCGAAGAGAGGAAAACCCCTGCCAAACCGAGGGTTTTGAAATCTAGTAGCTCTTTCTTATTCTCCTGTACTTTGATTAAAATTGAATTCACCAGAAGGGCATCAAATTTCAAAGGACTTTCCTGCTACCTACAAAAAAAAAATCAAAACCTGTTGCATTTCTTTTTGCTACATTTCTATATATGAAGAAATGTTTCACATTTGCCTACAGGTGGAAGCTTAGGGGTTTGGATATGCAGTCCTGCTCAGTGGTTATTTATGTGTTTAGGGGAAGTATTTAAACTAATGCATTTCTCAGTACGTTCCACTTGTAAAACTCTTGTTTCCGTATAATGGAAACTTAGGCCCTCTTTTATCCTTTTGCAGAAATGGCTGGCAAGAGTCAGGAGCAGAGCATTCAAGAAGAATTAACTTGTTCAATATGCTATGACCTCTTCAGAAACCCTGTCATGCTGGAATGCATGCACCATTTTTGTAAAGAGTGTATCCTGAAATATTGGAATGGATGCTCCAGAGTTGCCACTTGCCCCCAGTGTCGGCAAACGTTTCCTTCCCGATCTTTTCATCCCAATTTCATTGTATCTAATATAGTGGAGACAGTTCGAAGATCTGCCTCTGAGGAGCACAGAAGAAAAACCAAGGTAAGTAACCATGCAGTGAACTATTTTCCTTGCCCATTTGGCAAGAAGCATGTTTAGCATGTGGCACATTGCAATAGAGATCCAGTTTGGGCATCTGGCTATAATCCAAGAGATTATAAATTCTAGTCCTGCCTTAAGCACAAAACCTTGGGCCAGTCACTGTGCTGTCTCTCAGCTGTAGAAAGCAGGCAAAAGCAAGTCACATCTGAAAAACCTTGCCAAGAAAACTTCAGGACTAATTCAAGCAGTCACATGAATCATCAATGACTCAAAGGCACCCCAAAAAAACCTGAATTAAGCCAATATGCCTTTTACGGACATGATTAATGAACTTGATTGTTTCCATCTATGGTTTGTCTGTGTTACAGTGAGTAAAACAGGAACTGTGGTTTCTTCCTCTTTTACAAGCTCATCATGGATTGTTCTTGGTTTGCATGGCTTGTGATTTTGGTTGTCTTGAAGAAGACAAGCCAGTTCTATTCACATAAAAAAAAGATATATCTATTACAGATGGAATCATGAAAATGGGGATTATCAAAAATTGTCTGAGGACATAGCGTATATTTCTGAAGAAGTTTAATTTTCCATGGTGTGCAAACATGCCTAATACCTTCTAGCAAATACTTTTGGATCAAGACCCAAAGGTGCTTTTTGCCAGGGGCAACTGGACTTTCTGATTTTTCTCTGAAGATGTTTCGCTTCTCATCCAAGAAGCTTCTTCAGCTTTTGAATCAAGATATTTTATATTTTTGTTCTAATTCCATTCTCTCCAAGCTCTTTTCAATTTGCTTTGGCAACTGATGGTATCTTTACCATTTTAAAATATTTTCAATTCCACCTTTATTATTTCCATAAATAACTCAGGGCAGGGAACGTATTTAATAGTCATTTCTCCTATTTTCCACACAGTGATCACCCTGTCAGGTGAAGTGAGCTGTGAGAGAAGATTTATCTTTTCCCTCTCCATTGCATTTTGCTCTAGTCCTATCTTTTAACTTCTTTGAAGTTTTAATCCTTTGCTTATTTTATTTCTCCTCATCTCACAATGTTGTTCTTTGCAGCGCAATACTGAAGAACAAGAATTTGTCTAGCATCCTTATCTGCCATTGGGACAAACAGAGGTTAGGAGAAAAATTCCCGAGGAAAAGATTGGGACTGAGGTCCTTGTGTTTCAGAGATCTGAATTCCCAACTGACTGGCCAATATTGATTTGTAAGGATGTTTCCTTATAGTCAGGAAATGGCTGCCAGTGAAAAGGTAGTCCATTTTTCTAACTGATTTTTTTTTTACATAAGAAAAAAGATGGAAGAAGAGATCACAAGTGAAAGAAAATAGTATTGGAAATCTTTGTTCAATTCTGCACGAGAGCACAACCAACACTGAAATCCTTTTAAGTGTGGTCCTTTAGTTCATAGGTGGGGTGGGTGGAGAAAGCAAGAAAGAGAAGTCTCTGGCAAATGAATAAAAAAGATGGTGATAATAATTACTGATTAGGGAACAGTGGTAAAACAAGTAAAGAGAGGCCCATAGGCCCAACGCCAACTCTGGAACTTACATGTTTGCATCCGTTGTCAGCACCAAGTGGAAATATTTATATCTCGCCCTTTTCATACATATGTCCTGGCATTGGATGCAAGGAGAAAGATTGCAAGGCTTGCATCACAGTGTCACTGTACATGGTTTATCATTCCTTCCCACCTCTTGGATGCCTTTGGAGAGGTTAGGGATTGGGGGGGGGGGGAAATGCATAAAGAGGAGAAAACAACATCATGGCACTATTTTCATATCCTTTCACTAAGGAAGATCAAGGAAGATGCAGGTGCTATTTGAATTCTAACGGAAAACTTCATGGGATAAAGGAGGCTGAAAAAAATATTGATGATACTGCAAATCTTTATTGTACTGATTCCAAAATTAATATTGGAAGTTATTCCGATAAATAAATAAATTCTTTCTTTCTTTTCTTTCTTTCTTTTTCTCTTTCAGATGGAGCTCCAAAAGGTCCTTAAGACCTTCCAGACGAAACGCGAGAAACTGTTGAAGATGAAGCAAAAGAATGAGGAAAATATCAATTACTTGGTGGTAATATTACTGGTTTAGAATCAGAAGCAAATGGCTAAGATGCTAGAGATGATGTCAGAGGTGGGACATTTAGGGTTTGGGAGAGGTGGGGCATTTTGTTTTTGTTTTTTATTTTTATAACAAAAACAACAAAACCATCTTTCAGTTATACAGTGTGTTGACTGGGTACATATATCTTGTGCACATAATATTTGTATACATTTCTTATTAAATTTGCATTCATATTATAACCTATTCAACATTATATATCATAGTGTATCATTATTACAGTGTCATTAAATTTTCTGCTTCATTTTTCAACTATCCTTGAAAACAACTCCCAACTCTTAACTAGGTTACATTCATATTATAGCCTATTCAACATTGTCTATTATAATACATCATTATTACAATGTCATTTAATTTCTTGCTCTATTTTCCAACCATCCATAGAATAGATCCCAAATCCTATAATACTCCTTTTCTTCTTGCTTTCTAACTACTAGCGTTAACCTACTCATCTCTGAACGTTCCAATATTTTCTTAATCTCCACCCCCTCCATCGGAACTTTTTCATTTTTCCAATTTTGAGCAAATACAATTCTAGCTGCTGTTAATACATGTATAATCAAATATGTTATTTCTTTGCTATAGTTCTCAGGCAAAATCCCCAATAGGAATATCTCAGGCTTTTTTTTTTTTAAACAAATTTTATTAATTTTAAAGACAAACAAACCATCGTTATCCATTAAGTACACAAACCTCTCCATTATTAATTTTACAAGTCAGATAGAATACTATTTTATACAACATAATTCTATTTTTCACCATTTCAATATAACCATATAGATATCTCTCAACAAATTTCTCATTATTTCTTTTTTCTTATTCAATTTCATTAATTATTATTAATTTTCTATATTTATCCAGTTTAAAACCATCATCTTCATTCCTCTCTGTCTTGTTTAACATTATTCTCATCCAACATTCCTCCGAGGTTTTATTAATTCTCAAAAAAAAAACAGACACACAAAACACAAAAATATAAAACTTCTTTTAAGAAAGTAGTTTGGCCCCAGATTACCTCTCTTTGTATGGACTTCAATTAAATTCGTGCTCATCTTATATGCCATTACCTATCTTATTTACCATTCTATATCTTCCATATAACTTTTCCCCACTTTTCACTCTTCTTATTTCTATTTTATTTAATTCATTTTAATTTAATTCATTATATTTATATTTTTTGTCCATTCTTTCCAAATTATCCATTTATCTCATTCCCTACAGCAAGTAAAGAAAAAAAATTTTTCCCTGAAATCCCTGATCAAGGTATGATGCCTTTCTATCCTCCCCCTAAATTGATATTTAAAATAACACCTAATACCCAATCTGATTCTGCTTAGTACATTCAACCTACTAGTCTCTAAAGAAAAATAATAATAAGTCCACAATAATTAATATAATTAAATAATAAATCTAAATTTTAAATCTTATAGCCTTCCAATTGTCTATTTCAAGAAACAAATGCTACAGTAATGAGTTTATAATAAGATCAAAACAGCAGTAAATTAGTCTTTTCAATTAAACTCAATATTTTAAACATTCCTTTTAATCTTTTATTAAATTTTAAAATCTATCATTACTAAACATTTCAGATTCTTATAACATTCTAATTTTCTATTTCTAATACAAATACTACCATACCATCTTATGTACCTTGCAGAATCTTCTTTTTTAAAGAAATTATACATTACCCTTTATCCCTGAAAAAAATTCCTTTTTTCCCATCTTGTTTTATACCTTTGTGGCTTTTCCCTCCCTTTTCCCTTCCTTTCTTATCCCACCTAACCTTTTTACCTCCAACTTCCCCTCTCTGTTGTATTCCTTTCTCCTTTTGCTCAGTAACATTAACATTGAATTGGTTTTGCATCTTATTTTTTCCTTTCTTAAGTATTTTTTTAGATCTTAAGTCCTTCATTTTCCTTCCTTTCTTTCTCCTTTCTCTCTTAACTAAATTTTTAAATTCATTGAAGATGGCGTCTTCTTCTTCTTCTCCTTCTTCTCCTTCCATTTCCTCCATCTGTTATTGTTTTTGATAATTAACAAACGCCCTTTCTAGAGAGAGAAAGGCTCTTTTCACAGCGTCCTTTCTTTCTTCGTATTCTCTAAGTTCATCAGCAGATAAAGCCATTCTTTATTCTTCTTCTTAAAGCAACCAAAGTGTTTCAAAAGTTAGAGCAATTCCCCAAAATTCCAGAGAGAGTCAATCAGCCCAAACAAAACACAAAGTTCTCACTTTCTCTTCCTGGTAAGGTATCAAAGGGAAAGGAAAAAACATCCAATCTGTATTTTAAAACCTTATTGCAATTAATTTCTGGTCTCAAGATCTTCAAAGCATCTCCTCCAACAAAATCTTAATATATATATTTTGTCCTCTTCCTTCCCACTTATAACAAGAAGCCAAGTCTTTACCTTTTATAAAAGAAAAACAACAGGTTTCTCAATGGCCATTTGTTGATTCCATAAGGAAGGAGAGTAAACTTTCCCTTTCAGCACTCAGTTTTGCCGCTTGAGATCCTCCTCTGGAAACAAAGTATTTTTCAGAAAACCATCGTTCTCAGGATTAAACGCCTCTTAAAGTCCTGGGTCAGCCACAAAAACTTTCTCTTTACCACTTTCTCCTCTCTTCTTCCTGCTCAATCTTACCCAGCTGCCGGCTTCTTTGAGGCGGCCATTACAGACCGCCGCTTGACCGTCTTGGGAAAGGGGGGTTTTGCCGGCTGGGAAGGGGGTCTGCAACACCCCCAAACCCCTCACCAGCTCCTCCTTATCTTCGGCTGCTTCTTCGTAGCAACCTTAGCCTCCAGATCTATAGATCGGAGGCACCAAAACGGCTAGCGCGGCAGGGATCGCGCAGGATCGCAAATCCCTGCCGCTAGCGAAGCCGACAAACCGGAAGTCCCCCAGAATATCTCAGGCTTTTAAGTCTATATGTTGTTTTATCATCTTTTCCAACCATGTGTATATTTTAGTCCAATATCTTTTAGCTTCTGTGCATGTCCAGGTGGGGCATTTTGGCCACATGCTGGAAAGCACTGAAATCGAATAATCAGACAATCATAATTGCAGAAAATACATAAAAGGAAGAAGAAAAACTACCTATAGTCTGTGAGACTTATCCAATCTATGGGACCAAAGCTGGGACTTCTGACATTGTGTGACTTTTTCTTCCTAACACTATTCTTAAACTATACAGGCAAAACAATATAAAGCAGTCGATAAAGAATAGTTACTTCTGGGCTGTCACAAGACAAACTAATCATCTGCCCAGAAAATCAATGGACTGCTGAGGCCTCTCAGCAGAATAGAAGATTAATACCTCTTAATTGTGGATATTGCACAGAGCAAGGGGGGAATTACTGGGGAGAGTACGCAGATGGAAAAGGCTTAAACCCAATAAGCCAATCTTTTCCTGCTTTGTGCTGTAAGGCTTAGAAGTCATATTCCACAGGGTGATTTCGCTGAAGAAAACCAACAAAATCTTTCCTAAATACCAATAACAAAAATAAGATCAGAGGAGAAGGCTCTTCCATGTCAAAGTTTTGAACTATAGCATGCAAAATAACACAGACATTTGATTATGATGGCATCTTAAAAGAAAAAAATAATATTGTATTGCTGAAATGCATTTGCCAAAGAAATGCCTCTAAAACGAACACTGAGATAATGGTGTTATAAATAATACTGGGATAAAACTAGAGCAAACTTTTTCAAACCTCCACAAAGAGTGTGTGTGTGTGTGTGTGTGCGTGCATGGACAAGTGAATGAAGAAAAACTGGTAGAGCCATGGTGGTGCAGTGGTTAGAATGCAGTATTGCAGGCTGACTCTGCTCACTGCCAGGAGTTTGATCCTGACTGGCTCAAGATTGACTGAGCCTTCCAAGGTCATTAACATGAGAACCCAGATTGTTGAGGGAAATATGCTGACTCTGTAAAATGCCCAGACAGTGTTTTAAAGCACTATGAAGCGGTATGTAATTGCCATTGGTACTGCTATGTTTCATAACATAGTTCCTGCCACAATAGGTGGTGGCCTGACAGTGGGCAGCTATTTTCAGTTACACTGTATACGATAGGAAAGAAATAAAAATTTGTTCATTCAGAGACACATAAATTTGTGAGGGTTTCTTGAATTCATTGGCAGGATGACTGGTGGGCCATGAGTTGAAGAAGGTTGTATGGGATTGCATCAATGAGTGAACTTAACTGGGTTTAATAAATGCTTTCCCATTTGTATACAGAATTAACACTTTAAGAGTGATGGACACAAATGAATTTTTGGTGGTGTTTTTCTTTCATGATGATTTGTTTAGTTTTTAACAGTTGGCAGAGGACATAGCTCCAGGAAAGAGCATTCCGTTAATTTTTCCAAAAGACTGGCCTCTGCCCTCTTGAGAGAAGTGAAATATGTCACCAAAATAGTATTGACAGTGTTGGTCGTCTTGGCAAGCTGAACATTTGCTAAATCACTCAGCAACTGGGACTATCTTGGGAAGTGGTTATCCAGGGCTTAAAAGAACATATTTTAGTGTCTAAATCCAGACCCTAAACTAAAACCTTTTAGCTCATTGATGCCCCCCCAAAAAAACATTAATTATTTGAAAATAAATTAATAAGCACTACTTTAATTACTAATTCTACAAATATAACATCAAACCCTTGGATAGTCCCATTTATCCTTGGAGGTCGATATCAATCATTTTGGGAAACCCTGATCTAACCTTTTTGTGGGTTTGATCAGGGTTTCTCAAATTGTTCTGAACAGCAGGGTTCCCAAGACCTTGATGGAGTTCCATGAATAAAAGGAGCGGGGGAAAGAGGGATCACTCAGAGGCGGCCAATTTTATATCACTAGAGCAGGGGTTCCCAACCTGGGGTGCTCTCACCCCCTGGGGGTGCGAGACGATATTCCAGGGGGTACGAGAAAAGTCCAGGTAAATAATAGGATATTGGCTATATGTTGGCATTTTTATTTTCTTTTGCAATGGATTAACTTAACTGAGCAAAATATAAATTTCAGGGGGTGCAAGGTTCAAGTGAAATTTCTTTAGGGGTGCAGGGCGAAAAAAAGGTTGGGAACCACTGCACTAGAGCCTTGCCTCTTGATCAGAAGTTATGGGAAATTTGGGCAGAGAGTTATTTCAGGCCTGAAAACATCTAAGAACTACTGTGTTGTTATAGTCGTCATATTTAATGCTGTTGCAGCCTTTCATAGATAGCATTCTCTCCTGAAACAAGCTGGTATTCAGGTGGTCCTCAACTTAACAACCATTATTAAGCCCAGAATTTATGTTACTAAGTTAGGAATTTGTTAAGTGACTTTTGCCCCATTTTACCACTTTCCTTGCCACATTTTTAAGTGAATCATTGCAGTTGTTAAATTAGTAACACAGTTGTCACGTGAATCTGGCTTCCCCATTGGCTTTGCTTGCCAGACGTTCGCAAAAGATGATCACATGACTCTGGGACACTACAACGGTCATAAATATGAACCAGTTGTCAAGCATCTGAATATAAATCACGTGACTGTGGGGATGCTGTGTGAAAAATAGTAGTGTCACTTTTTTCAGTGCCGTTGTAACTTCGAACAATCACTAAATGAACTGCTTAAGTCGAGGACTACATGTACTCTATTATTCAAGCCTTTATCCTTTTTGCAGAGTATGTTGTGTTCTGTGACTTTTCAGCACCCAGGTAGACATCATGTAACAGTTCACTCTTAAGCCATGTTTAGAATTCCAGGCTGAAAAACCTGGGTTTTCCAAGAAAACAAATTATACTAACTCAGAAAGATGGTTTATTATTTTCTCTTATATATGTAAATGTTCTGGTTTCCTTATATTGCAGGATGGATGGATGCAAAATGAGGATCAAGGAACACTTAATAATTAAGTAATTGTCTCCACGGATAGCATGTCCGTAAAGAAAAAAAAGCACATAATTACTTACGCAGGACAGTCCCTTACTAGGAATTCTTCAGCATGTAGTTGTGGTCATGAGAATGAGAGGAGATGCAGCCAGTCCATGGAGTTGGACTTTATTGATGACTAGGGAGGAAGCTGCTGCTTTATGTCAGGTCTTGTCAGGGATCTGTTATGTTCCCTATGCTTTTACCATGATTGGTGATCTCCAGCTCATCCCTTCTTGGTTAACTGGACTCAAGGAGATTATTCATGTCCTTTATTGGTGTCTAAATGCAGTGATACATCAGATATAAATTAACAAAATTAGGCTCACGACAATATGGATTAAACCTAATGTGCAATAGGAGTAGATCATGACCCTTTTTGAAGAATCAGGTTTATAGCTTGACATGCTTTAGTATTCATCCCGGACGGTTCTGAGGCCACTGTGGTCAGGATGTTATTGTCTACACTCTGTTAATATGCCCTTTACCAGAGAAGACATATTTGTCCACTTTCTCCATCTTGTGAGTATTTCTCTTTGAAACCACTAAAATTTAGAACACTTGGAATTTGTGGTTAAGGAGTTATTCCTTCTGAAATGTGGTTTGCTGATCACATTACCTTTTCAACAGCATTGCCATTCATTGTGTTTTAAGTCCAGTTAAAAATGCTGGATGTTTTCGCCAACAAAAACTCCTAAACTTGAGGTTGGTGGAGAAGAACTGCCTTGGTTTGCATGAACCTTTGATTTGTATGAACTTTCTCAAATTGTTTATGCCCAACCCTCAAGAAACTTAAGTTGTCATGGTGGGAGGCTATTCTTGTTTAATTAGGCAGAATGTTAAATATTGGTTGGCTTGCTTTGTGTTTATTACAATATCTATCCTGTGGTTTATTCTCTAGCAAGATATGTAGGGTATCCATTTTATCTGTAACACTACCCTGTGAGTGATGACTGGCTAGGAATTGTGAATTCTGTGACTAAATGAGACTTGAACTTGGATCTTCCCAGTTCAAAGTCTTAATGAGTGGCTGTCTTGATAATACAGCAATCACTGACAATTTAAAAATTAAAATGAAAGAACGACCTGCTTTTCTCGTGTATATCATTCTGATATATTATGTATTAGAATATTAAATTGTACATCATCTGAAAATGCCCTTTCTGGATTGAAATTTGACTCCAACATTTTATTAAGATTTTTTTAACAATCAAGGAATACAAACATGCATACTTCTGGATGTGGGAGAGATATTTGCTAAATCATCTTAGTTTTCCTCTTGATGTCTTGTCAGAAATGATATTAAATATTGTGCAGCTTTTTCTGAACAGCCACAGTCATCATTAATGGGCTTTTTAAAAATTAAAGCCTGTGATTTACCCTTAAGATGTCATCAAGGTGAAGGAACATGGTAAGTAATAACAGTCTCCCAGTTCATCAGAGAAAGCAGTACATCTAACCCACCTTCAACAAAATTTATCCTGGGTAAAGGTTGGAAGCAGGCAGGTCTCAGAAGCATTAGATTTAAGTTCATGAAAGCTGCTTCTGTAATCATTCTGTTAGCTCTTCATTCATTATATATATAATATATAATGACAATTTCTGAAAGGCTTTGGTAGTCTAATAAGTGTTGCTAGTTTGAAATGACAGTAAGTAGCAAATAATGTTCACTTCAAAAGGAGTAATTTGAATTTAAAATTAATTCTAATCATTTTGAGCCCATTGAGACTCACTACAGAAAGCCTCATGTTTAATGTACACTAGAGGGGTGTTAGAAAGAAAGAAAGAAATCAAATAATACAAGACAGATGAACCTCGGGGCTTATTTTGGTGCCCCTGAATATAAGCAGTATGTAATTTGCTTTTATAATTTTGCATACAAGGGAATTGAATGGCAGGGGAGAGAGAAAGTCAATGATACTGTAATTAGGCAAGATTTCTTTCTTCACTGTATTGGACTGCCATGTTTGTAGGAAATTGGAGAGGGCCAAACAAAATGCTCACAAGCTTACAAAAGATGGTAGAGGGTTTATGTGCATGCACTTTTAATACATCTGAATTTTTAAACATTTAAAAAAACCCAAATGAAAGTGAAAGGCAAATCTTTTGCAAGCATTTAGCAGGACTTCAATCAGGTATCCTCCAGGTGTTTTGAAAAACCCATACATTCAGCTTCTATCTCTTGTTTGCTGTTAACATAGTATTACTAATTAATTGCTGCATAAGTGCTAATTATGCATTTGCATCATATCCTGTTGTGAGAGGACTGTTTTAATGTGAGAATACAGGAATATTTTTCAATAAAAGTTAAAGGAGAAAATGAACAAGGGGAGTCAAGTCATTATAACTATTCCATGTGGGAAAAGAACTGTTCACATAAAGACTAATCAAGGAACAAAGTAATCTTGCAGTTACACTGAACAGGAAACAATTAGAGAAATAAGTCACAAAAAAGAGACTTCAAATTAAAGTTGCAGTAGCTCTGAAAAGACTCAGTAGTGTTCTGCCAGACCATGCTAAAAGAATAGCACCATAATTGCCTTTAAATGAGAAAAATCTTCAAGTCTGTTCGAAAGAAGACCAAAGAACAGCTTGGGAAAATTGTGGTGCGATGAATTAACTGCAACATCTGGATTCTCTGTCAAAGTGAGACAGGACAATTCTAGATTAAATAGTAGCATAGATACAATTGCCACCCTGTGGCTGTGCAGATCCCTAGGAAGATAGCTGAATGCTTTAAAAATAAAAGCGTGCTTTGCTCTTCTTAACAAAGCGAGGATACATTGCTCACAAAGCTTCTGTGGAGGTAATATCTTTTGAAACATAGATAACGGTTGAATATATCAAACATGCACCTTGTTTCTATTTCTTGTGGTCTTTTTCTCTGTCCAGAAAACATCTGGGAAACTGAACTCAGAGATCCAAGCAGCATTTCAACATCTTCATCGGATCCTACAAAAGGAGGAAGGAAGGATGCTGACAGAACTGGCTAGAGAAGAGGAGCAGTATATGCTGAGACTGGAAAACGCTTCTATACAATTAATAGAAGAGATCTCTGAGTTGAAGAAGAGCATGGAGCAGATACAGCGTAGGCTTGAAAACTCTGAGATCTCATCAGGGCTGCAGGTGAAGCTTCCTACACTTCCCTTGAGATGGGGGTTGAACTTAGGACTTGGAGTTCAGATCAAATCTACCCTTCCTCAGTCTTGTTTATGCAACACACTGAGGTTCAGGGAAGACCAGTTCAGAGGAATGGATTATCTCCTGGGTGAGAGATGTGGACGGGAAGAAGTCCCCACGTATTAATTTACAATCTGAAAATGTTTGCCTTTATTCATTGCATGTTTTACTGTCTTGTCCGTAACTAGACTTGACCTTTTGCATCATGCTGCAAGAGAAGGTGAATTTCTATTTGGCTTTCTAATGGCGTCTGTAGTGTTATATCTCTACCTGTCTTCCCATCCTTTCTCCATTTCACCAGGGCGAGCAATGAGAATGTCTCCCTCTCTCCTTCCCTCCCTCCCTCCCTGTCCCGTTTCTTGCAGACTTGACAAACATGGCAAGGTAAATGTCACCTGACATTCTCTTCCTCCTCCTGCTCCCCAGTAGAGAAGAGCATTTGCTCTTTTCATTTCCCTTTCCTGTATCATTCCTGAACAATAACCCGTGGTTTAATGCGATCTTTTTACATCACAGTTGCTGTAAGTTGCTGTGACTGCAGCGGCAGGATTGTTAAACGAATGGCTGACTCTCCCTCTGATACAAATTGCATGGGAAATTGTCTGCCTTGAGAAATTACTGCAAAGCCCTTGAGCCTTGGAGTGTCCAGAGCGGCCATATTGGCTCTGGGTCCTATACAGCAAAGCTGCTCAAGGAAACATCACAATTGATATTAGAGGTAAAAAGCCAGAGCATAGGCCCTAAACTTCTTGAAACTGCTGGAAGGAGTGTGTTTTGGAGCTGTGCTTTCTGCGGGATATTTTCTGCCCTGTGTCCTTTCATAGTGGAACAGAGGTGGAGGCTGTTGGGAATGAGTCTATGTAGTCTGCATCTCAAACTGAAGCACAAATGGTCCCTGCAAATGGTCCCTGCAGACCACAGGAACACAGTCCTTTCAGTAGTTCCAAGAAGGTTCCATACCCATTTGCACTAGTAATCAGGTGAACCTCCAAGTGGCCTCAATGACTCTCTAAAAAGAATGCAAATGACCAGCTGTCTGCAAGGAGTATAAATCCTTCCATTCCCCACCATCCAGTCAGAGCTGAAGAAGCTTCTTGGATGAGAAGTGAAACATCTTCAAAGAAAAAACAAAGTCCAGTTGCTTCTTGAAAAAGCACCTTTTGGATTCCAGTTTACGACTTTCTAGCACTTCCTTGAATAATCACTAAAAAAAAGTTCAGTGGAAAACGGGAAGAAAGGCGTCAGTTAATGGTTACTGAAAAAACTATATTTATCCTTTTTTTCCCCTAGTGGACAAGCTGGATCTAGGAAAGTTCCCAGAAAGTCTTCAATTCAGGCTCTCAGAAACAAGACCTATTTAGCTTTAACAAATAGCTTATTACATGCGTTCCTCTAAATGTGAGGAACACAAATGTGCTTTAATCACAAACCCCTTTACAAAATGCATTAGAAAACATGACACTTTTTCCCTTCATGAAACTTCTTGTTCTACTAAATGTTTACATTTATAAAATTAAGTGTAAAATTAATCTGCTTTGCTGGCAGCCAAAAGATGGATTATAATTGAAATAAATAAAATAAACATTCTTTACCTACCTAGCACAGGTAGTCTTCAACGTATGACCACAACTGAGCCCAAAATTTCTTGTTGCTAAGTGAGACATTTGTTTGTCCCCATTTTACGGTCTTTCTTGACTTTGCTTGTCAGAAGGTTGCAAAAGGGGTCAAGTGACCCCAGGACACTGTCATAAATATGAGTCAGTTGCCAAGCATCTGACTTTTGATCACTTGACCATGTGGATGTTGCAATGGTCATGAGTGCGAAAAACGGTCATCACTTTTTTCAGCGCCGTTGTAACTTTGAATGATCACTGTTGTAAGTCAAGGTGTGCTATTCCCTTTCAGACTAAGCAACATGCAAAGGCAGAAAAGGAGTAAAAACTAATAAGGTATATAAATGAAAAAAAGAAACAATTAAAAAAATTACATTTTGCGCATTCTAAAATTCATCCATGCAGTTCCCTATATGTTAACTGTTCTACCAAGTAATTTGTTACCAAGTAACAAAGCTACTTGCTTTAAAGTGGTTTATTTCTTCTCCATTTGCACAAAATTTGCAGCCACTCTCTTTTTTCCTCTCTGTTCAATAGAAGTGCTTTAGTCTTTGATGCATTAATTTACAGGTCCATACTCTTTTACACTGTAATATAATCTAATATTCACTACAAATCTCTTGATTTCTCAGTCAGCAAAAATAGCATTGTCTGCATACAAAGGAGCGCATCTGTTCATGGCTATATCCAAAACACCTGTAATGTTACCATAAGCATTCCTTATCTTGTGATAGGGAAATTGTGATCACTTTAAACGAGCAGAGGACTTATATTCTTGTCTTACAGCCTGCTTAAGGTTGAACAATTTGCTTAGTGCTCTGTTTCCTTCCCTGTATGATTTACTTCCATCAAATAATACTTTTAGCACAATGACCAGTTAACTTTCAGTGCTTTATTCATACAAAGCATTCCATTATTTCATCATGGCAACTAGGCTTCTGAATAAGCTACATGGATAAACAGTGAAGCATTTCAAATAAAAAAAGGAAAGTCCAGTTGCCATGATTCAACTTCCAGACAACTCTACTTGGATGACTGAGAATCTTCATTGACATTTTCTCTGTCTAAATCATCTAAAGTACAATAAACTATTATTTCTCAACTTTGTATTTCAAATTGGTTTGCCGGTGTAATTTAAAATTATAATGTACAGCTAGGGATAAAGCTCTTCTGCTTTGCTGGTGACATACTAGATTTCCTTCACAAGCAAAAGCCCAGAAAGGCACCAAACATTGTGTCTTGAAAATTGAGAGACTGAAAGCTTAACTACCTCATCTCCTCATTCATATCATGAAATGTTTATTTATTGTCTCCAGAATATATTCCTTTAGCATTTAGCTTCCCTTTGGAATTGTGTTTAATGTTCACTTAATTATAATTGTCCTTCTCTCCAACTTTAGAATAGAAGAATATACTGTAGAATCTACTGGTGCTAGTCCACACAAATTGAGTGAGATGTTTCTTAATTTGCTCTACTTCTTTTTGCAGGTGGAAACTCTGCCTGTCAGGTATGTGTCCGGAAAAGAAACAAAAAAAAAAAAATCCTTTGCAATTTCTTCTTCTCTCACCTGCTGTGGGATAAGGGGATAATTTCATCAGGGTGGAGATTGGGGTATCATCACCTTAGTATTCAACACACTGAAAGTTTGGAGGAAGTCAGTGAACAGATCAAGGATGTACGGGTAGATCTGTATCCTCTGAATGCTGAACAGTGTGGCACAGATGTGCTAGGAGGAAATGGTTGAGCTACTTGAATGAGCTCCACTTGTAGTTCCTCAGAACTGATTAGCAATCTAAATGGACGGAAGACTTAGCCTGCCAGATTTGCAGGATATCAGATCCAATATGAGCTCAGTTAATCTGTTTTGGCTTTTGCTTTGCCAATCCTGGAGAGCTTTCTAGCTTCACCCAGGTGGGCAGGAAACAGAAACACAAATCTCTCACTTATCAAGGCCCTGTTGGATCCCGATATGTATCTTATGGTTCTGCTTTATTGTGATACTGCCAACTTGCTGTAATGATTACATTGGAGATGTAGCATCCATTTTCTTCATGTTAATTGTAACGAGAACATTGCATGTGCAATCCTCTTTCTCCTTCACCATACCGGGGGACATTTTTATATGTAAGGAAAGGGCTGGAGGTTTCTGTGGAAACGAGTTTAAAATTAATTTGTTAATAGCATTTGGTATATATTTTTATTAGGTCCATTTGTACACTGCTACTGTGCACGTTTCTGTTTGTCTGCAAAGTAGTTTCTTGCATGATGTTTAGGACTTTCTCCTGGCCCTCCAGGCTGTAGGCTGATAAACCCCTTAGGCTGAGAAAAGGAAGCAGAATGCCCAGGTCAGAAATTTCCCCTCTGTTTAAGCTGAACGGACATTGTAGGAATTTGGCAGTTTCCAAGGATGCTTCATTCTTCAAATGTCTGCGATCATGGGCATCAATGATTTGCATGGTTCCCTAGTTAGTATAGGTAGTCCTCTACTTACAACCACAATTGAGCCCAAAATTTATGTTGTTAAGTGAGATAATTGTTAAGTGGATTTTGTCCCATTTGATGATCTTTCTTGACACAGTTGTAAAGCGAAATCACTGCAGTTAGTATCACTGTTGTTAAGTGAATCTGGCTTCTCCATTGACTTTCCTTGTCAGAAGGTCATGAAAGGCGATCCCATTACCCCAGGAAACTGCATCCCTCATAAATGTGAGTCAGTTGCCAAGTATCTGAATTTTGATCACGTGACCGTGGGGATGCCTGCAATGATGATCGTAAGTTGAATAAATGGTCATAAGTCACTTCGTTCAGTGCCGTTGTAAGTTCAAATAGTCACTAAACAAACTATTGTAAGTTGAGGACTACCTGTATTGGTCTCTTTCCTTAGCAATAAAGGGTTGCATGGATCTTGGAGAAGAAGTGGTGGGTTGGTAGGTTTAATTAAAAACACCTCTACATCCTGCTTCCCACCCACCCACCCAGTAATTTCAGCTTACTCCCATCTGTTATGTGGACTCAGCAAAGAGATATGTCTGAGCCACTTTATATCAGTTTTACTGCCATAAAATTGGGAGCACAGTAATTTGCTCCATAAAAGTGTTGAGCACTTCTTGGTCAATAAAAGTACGGCGTAGCATCCAGGTAAATTGACTGGAAAGCTTCGAGGCTGGAGACCATTTACTTTGATAATGGACGAATGTTGTGATGTGTATACTCTCGTTTAGCTAAGTTTCTTCCTGTTTCAGACCAGCAGTGCAACTAGAAACGTTGACTTTGGTTCAAAAACACTACGAGGAGCTGCGTGACGGGCCCTTGCAGTACATAATTTGGCGAAAGATGCTGAAATCCATCATCCCAGGTGTGTTTTCCCTGTTTGAAGTAGGCTTGGGATAAAGAGAGACAGAAGAGCTCCCATATAGCAAAGGCCTCACTTAATTCCATGCGTTGTTCTCATAGCTCCTGCTGTTCTGACCCTGGATCCAGAAACGGCCCACCCCAACCTCATCCTCTCCAAAGATCTGACTTCAGTGACAGAGAGGGAGTCACCTCAGGCGGTACCCAGAAGCCCCAGGCGTTTCCTGCAGAGCGTGAACGTGTTGGCCAGGGCGTCCTTCAAAAGCGGGCAGCATTACTGGGAAGTCTGGGTGGGCAACAAGACCAAGTGGGAATTGGGAGTGGCTTCAGACAATGTGGACCGGGCAGCAAAAGTCCGTCTGTGCCCAGAAAATGGCTATTGGACAATAAGACTGTGGAACAACTCCGAGTATTGGGCCGCGGCAACTCCCTGGGTACGTTTGGAGCCCCGGTGCTTGCTGAGGAAAGTGGGGGTATTGTTGGACTGCAAGGCCAAAAAGCTGACTTTTTATAACGCTGAGGACATGTCATTCCTCTTTACTTTCCACCAGTTGCGGGCTAGCAAATTCTATCCTTTTTTCAGTACCGGTTTCAGTCATGGCGAGAAGAACGCAGAGCCCATGAGGATCTGCCATCCTCTCAGGCTCTGAAACCTTCCCATTTCACAGGACATGGTGGGTACTTCCGTTTCTTTCTGCCTTAGCGCTGTTACAATACTGTTTCTCTGTCCTCATAACTGACACTGGTAAATGTTCATTGAGATTTCAAACTACTTATATTTGTGATATAGATCCAGCCAACTGTAACAAAAAAATGAAGGGTTGTTGACCATTTTTATTTTAAGTGATCCCTTACTGTCTTTTCTTAAGGTGGGTTTAATCTAACAAGATTGTTACTACTCATTTAAGGTTCAGTCTGGCAAACACTCAAGCAAAAGATCTTGACTATAATTCTAATATATCAGAAGAAACGATACAAGTTCTTACTTCCTATTATCACTTTTTCCAAGTGTAAACATAGTTTGTACACATGTATGGGCTTGTACTTAACCTGGTTAGTTTTTCATCCACCTGAAGGAAAAAATTCCTTATCAGTGAGATTCAATATCCAAAAATGCTCTTTGTTTTCATTTGTATTCTGAGTTAAGAACAAAAAAAATGGATCTCAAAAGGAAACTTAAGTCTAAAGAGAGCATGAGGAAGAAATGGTTTCTAAACTTCTTAATATTAACCTACAAGTTACACAACGGACATAAGCAGGCATGAGAGTATCACATCTTCTCCTGGGTTCTGAGGAGATTCAGTTAGTCAAAGAGATTGAAAGCAGCCTTTTTTATGATGCAGGGCTAAGATGCTGAAGAATTAGATTGTATCTTTAAAGGAACCAGCCAGATTCACAAATTCCAGACTGAAGGACAGCTTTGTAGTGCAGAGGAAGATTTTCCCAATTTTGCTGCATAGTTTTCAAATAAAAAAACGAGGTGTGTTTATGTTATTTCAAAATATTATGGTAGAATAGCCCCTTTTAAATCACTTTAAAGGAGCATTTTGTAAATGTGTGTTTTATGGGCATGAAAGCAAGACCATTTTATGAGGGAACTGAACTGGGAGCAGTATGTTAGCTTGTACTTCAACATATGATTCAGAATAGCAGCACAGTGATTTTGGTAATAACCACGGCAAATTGGAGGACAGGGTAGTTGCATTGGAAATGGGAGATGAGGCTCTGCACTGTTGAAAGGAGGAATTTTGAGGCTATGTGATAAAGCTTCACCAATAGCTTAGTGTTTGCCAGGGATGTATAAGAAGCTACTCCTGGCACCTGTACTATTACCGGTAGTACAGAGTAGTATGTACAATTACATATTTTCCTTATGATAAAATCAGATGAACCTTTTGCTATGCAATATTAAAATAAATGTGTATTTCTGCCAATTGTTCTGGAATTTTTCACCTCATTCTGTATATTTGTATCACTTGGTGCAGTAGCTTTTTGTCTAGATTGACATTAAAGAATATTCATGAGAAGAGTAGTTTTTTTTCTCTCCCTGTTTTTGTGTAGTTCCTGGAGTTGCCAGCAGAGGGTGGTGTCTGCTAAAAGAACATTTTAACAGGAGCTGAACTATTTATTTATTTATATCCCACCATGACTATTTTTTATAAATAACTCAAAGCAGCAACATACATAATCTTCCTCCTCCTATTTGATTCATACCTGTCATTCTTAGCATGGAATCCATAGTTGCTTGCAAAATGAGCTTACTTTTTTTTAAAGGTGCAGGTTTAAACAATTGCAAACAGGAACATTTTTTTTTTAAGTAATGTGTCCCAGGACCCCTTTGGTGGCTCAGAGATCCAAAATTGTTTTTTTAAAAAAAGTGAATTCTTTTTTATTTAGAGGCTCCAATGTTTTTCCAGTCCTCGGAGAATATATTTTCCAGACATGCCCCTAATCCTTGCACTAGGTGAGATAATATTTCAAAAAAAAAGATCTAACTGTCTTGAAAGGAGAAACTCAGAAAACCGGCTGCTTTTCTGCGTTGCCAAAATGAACTTGGCCAGTATTTTGAGAGGATGAATTCTCTTACCTACCAATATACTAGTGGGATTTGTTGAGGAGGGGGGACTTTCTGCATCTGTTGTGCCACATGGAGAAAAACACCCACCCAGAAGCTAAACATCCGGTGTTTTCAGTAACATTGATTACATAAAGAGAGCAAGCTGACTAATAGTTTCACCTAGTCAAACCTTCAAACTCAAATAGCTAATAACAGTTACTCCCTATCAAATGATATTCAGTTGGCCTTCTAGGGGGAAGCTACATTAACTCTGATTCACATATTTGGGCCCCTGCTTTTGGAAGACCAAAAATCCTAAGCTGCCTCCTTTGGCCAGTTAATACCTATAACCTACAGTAACAGAGTTGGAAGGGACCTTGTAGGTCATCTAGCCCAACCCCTCGCCCAAGCGGGAGACCCTACACCATTTCTGACAAATGGCAGTCCAATCTCTTCTTGAAAGTCTCAAGTGATGACACTCCCACAATTTCCGAGGGCAAGATGTTCCATTGGTTAATTGTTCTCACTGTCAGAAAGTTTCTCCTTATTTCCAAGTTAAATCTCTCCTTGTTCAGTTTCCATCTATTATTCCTTGTCTGGCCTTTAGAAAATAGCTTGATCCCTTCCTCTTTGTGGCAGCCCCTCAAATAAATCAGTAAAGTTATTAAATCCATTTGCAAATCTGGATGAAAAAATAAGTGTTGAATTTGAGCATTGACATGTTTCTGAAACTCGAATAAGGCTTAACAGAATTACAGAATTGGAAGGGGCCTTGAAAATCTAGCTCCCTGCTCAAGAAAGATCCTAGATCATTTCAGACAAATGGCTATCCAATCTCTTTTTAAAAGCCTCTAATGCTAGAGCACTCACAACTTTTGAAGGCAAGCCAGCCACTGGTTTACTGTTCACACTGCCAGGAAATTTCTTCTTAGTTTTAGGTTGCTTCTCTCCTTGGTAGTTTCCAACCCTTGCTTCTTGTCTTGTTTTCTGGTGCTTTGGAAAATGGGATGACCCCTTTTTTATGGCAGCCCCTCAAATATTGTAAGTAAGTAAGAGGTTTATTGAATAGTCATAAGACCTTATCAGTAACATAACATAAATATATAACAAGACAAAATACAGATAAGTTAGATACATAAGAATACAGTAATAAAAACATGTGGAAAACCAGGGAGCCCTCAAATATTGGAACACTTCTTTCATGTCTTCCCTAGTCTTTCTTTTCACTAGATTAGACATACTCAATTCCTGCAGCTGTTCATGTTTTAGCCTCCAGTCCCCTTTGCTGCTCTTCTCTGCACTCTTTCCAGAGTCTCAACATCTTTTCATATGGGAGTGACCAAAACTGGACGCACTGTTCCAAGTGTGGTCTTGCCAAGGCCTTATAAAGCAGTACTGACATTTCACATGATCTTGATTCTGTCTCTCTGTCAATGCAATCTAGGAATGCATTGGCTTTTTTGGCTGCTGCTGATTCATCTTTAAGTGACTGTTGATTAGATCCCTCTCACAGTTCTGCTATTGAGCCAAGTTTCACTGATCTGTACCTGTACGTTTGGTTTTTCAGGCCTAAATATAAAACCTTATTCTCTATATTGGATTTCATTTTGTTAGATAGGGCCCAGAGTTCAAATCTGTTGAGATCAATCTGTATCTTGAGCCTGTCTTCTGGAGTGTTTGCTGTTCCTGCCAGCTTAGTGTCATGCGCAAATGTGATGAGTTCCCCCTCTATTCCCTCATCTAAATCATTTATGAAGATATTGAGTAGAACTGAACAGAACCTTGGGGTACTCCACTGTTTACTTCCCTCCATGTCGATGTAGTTCCGTTAAGGACTACACATGGAGTGTGGTTTGTCTTAGTTCATTGAATTTCAATCTCAAATTCCTTAATAGTTCAAATTGCAATTCCTGTCTCCAAAGTTGAATGGATAATGCCTCTTACTGCAAGCTACTTGCAGATTTTCCAAAACCTTTTGAGCTGAGGTTCAAAAGTGGATTAAGCAGACTTCCTCTCAGGTTAATTTCAGGGATTGGCCTCTGCTGTATAGCTGTCAGCAAACCAAAAACAGTTTTATTGTATGGAGGAAGGAAAATTTGAGCCAAAAAACAGCAGACAAAAATGGGTACCAGACGTTTCTCCATAATAGACGCAAGCTGGGTTTGCATAACCAAGGCAAATTCCCCAAAACCATTGGCTTCATCTCCTGAAACTTCAGAAGCTTTTTGTACCTCATCTTTGAGTGCTCAATGTTTCCTATCAATCAATAGCATTCCCCTTCTACCAACAGGGCAGCACCATTATCTAATCTTACAGAAGCCAAAGGTGGCCAATGTTGGGTTGCGCCTTGGCACTGAATGACAGATTATTATTTTTTTTCTTCTTCCTGAGAAGGTCAGCTCTCTGACTTCGGAGGGAGAAAGACTTTTGTGAAATAACACCTTTCCAGGCTCCCCATGCATTGGCTCACCCAGAAGGAACTGCTGGATGCAAATCTCTTCCAAAAACATGCACAGGATTTACCCTTTGTCCAAATTAAAACACACGACTGGGCTTGAATTAAAAGATCAGGCAAGTGTGCTGATGTAACAATTGTAAACTCTGAGACTCAAGGCTTGTGTTGCGTGAAATAATTCAACACACCTGCTGCTACCCTTGGATAAACATTCAGTGTGCTTGGGGCAGATGGCCAAGGATGTACAACACCCACCCACCCACCCAAAAAAGCAACCGCTGGAAAAAGTCCAGCCTCTGCAAAGGGTCAAATGTAAAATTGACCAATTTTTGACCAGTTGGGAGAGGCAGAACCCCTTGACATAGAATAAGGGATATCTTGCCTACCCACCCACCCCTCCTGCTCTTTCTTTCACCAGGATCACCAGCCAGGATCGCTGTGGGAAAAAACAGAAAAGAGGATGTTCCCAGAGATGCCATGCTTTTGCAGAGCTGAGCTAGGCACTTGTCTCTGTGCTGGCAGCCAGAAGAGAACAATGTTCCTCTGTTAATACCGTATTTCCTTGTTTTATTTGCATGATCCATTTGACTGATCTAATGCAGAAGTGTTCCAGAACTGTTTAGGGAAGACATTTTGTTTAACCACAAAGCTGACTGGGTTTTTCCCACTCCAACAATACACCAGCCCCACTCGTAATCTGTTATGTTGTGTTAAAACAGCCAATGGGTGGTTTAGATTAGAATGAATACACACACACACACACACACATGCACAAACATATGCAATCCTATGTGTGCATGCACAGCCATGTGTATATGTCTGTGTAAATATAATTTAGAACCATTTAAGGCATTTGGAAAGGAAGTAAAATTAGCTTGTGTCACTAACACATACAGGTTTAAACTTTCTGCCTCTTGTGTAGGGTATAGCAGAAAAACAGAACAAGGCGAATCTGTTCAATATAATTGGTTTTTTTTTAAAAAAAAAAAAAAAAGTAGATATTGTTAAGTCTGGAATATCGGGCCCGGGTAGATCGGTCCCGGGTAGATCGGTTCGCACAGAGACGTGAGACTCAAAGTGAACATTCAGCTCTTTATTGAGTATACAGTTCTGTACAGGACCTGCGCTTCGCGG